CACAAAAAAAAAAAAAAAAAAAAAAAAAAAAAAAAGAAAGCAAAGAAAAGAAAAGAAAATAGGGTCTCAGGCCTGCTGGTGGTATGGTGCATAAGGTGGCTGGATCCCACATGACTGATTGTACAGTTTAGTTTAAGTTTCAGAGCTGGCAGCCTGAGAAACACACTCAGCAAGTGTGTGTGCATGCCCAAAATCTCTAAACAAAGCAGAGATGGAAGAGAAGGGAATGTGGTGTGACCACCTCCCATGGTGACTGCTTTCTCACTTTCTCTCTCTCTGGTGAGTAATATATGTCCTCTGGCAAAAAAAAAAAAAAAAGAAAAAAGAAAAAAAGTGAGAAAGACAAGGCCTCATTGTCATGCTCCTTCAGCCTAAGCTTCCTGTCACTGGACTTAGAGGTGCAGCCACCACACTCAGCCTGTTAGGTTGGACCAAGAATCAAACCCATGCCTTCCCACATGGTTCTAGTCTGCAGAGTGCAGTGTCTTAGCAGCATGCACCACCACTGCTAGACATTACTATTTCTTATTAGACACAAGGGAGGACCATAGAACAGCATGGACTGGGAAGAAACAGGACAAAGCCTTTACATTTCCTCCTACTTCTAACAGAGCTGTACCTTTTCTATCATCAGTGTTGCCCATGATTGGTTCAAAACTCAGCTTTCATACTCTTATACCCTCTCTCAATGAAGGAGATACATTACCATGTACTAACCCGAACCCAAATGCAACGAGAGATGCAGAGTTCCAAATGCGGCTGTTCTCACCTCCCAGTCCAGGTAATCACTGGCATCCTCAAAGTTAGTAAGGAGGGAGACAGAGCAGAAAAGTTTAGGCAGCTCCTCTCGGGTCAGGGGGGGAAATCGGCTGTCCTTAAGTGCACTGGAGAGGGACAGAAAACATAGTGAGGCTGCTCTGGAGCCAGGAGCCAGCATTCAGCATATTTACAACCCTGGAATATGCAGAGAATGCCTATTACCTATCAATGGTAATGTTAAAAACAGCTCCATATTGTTAACTGTCTACACTTGAACTGATAAAGTCACTCACCATATTAAATCTCTAACATTAAAGCTCTTGCTTGAGAATGCCCAAAAAGTATCACTTAGTTAAAAGGTCAGGCAATTGCTTCTAATTCTAGCTAATTTATCTACACTTCTTAATGTTTAGTGGAATTACCTGGTTAACGTGTATTCCCTGAGTCCTGAATGAAGATTCATGGCTGAGAAGGTCCCGATACAGCCACGAAGCCGCTTGTCCCGCCCTGTCTTCCATGTCACAAAGAGAGGACTAAAAAAAGCAAAACACAAAACATTCTCCAGCCCCAAATTAATCATGGATAAGAACAAAGCCTTTTGGCTTTGTCCCTGTCCTTTCCTGTTGTTGTCCAAAAGGACTGTTTGCTGAACTGCAGGCTACTTGAAGGACTCCCTGCCTTTCTGGAAGCTGCAGAGCTCCTAGCTGGAACCGGAGAGGAAACTGCTAGGACGCGACACAGAGAAAGGCTAAGCCTTCCCTGTGTTCTATGCTGACAGCTTTAATTCACGTTGACACTACATTTATGTGCTATTTTGCTTTTCCTGCACCCAGGACTCAACTTTTCCTACTCTCCTCCTCTTTACTCTGTTTTTATAGGTAGCCTGTTCCCAGGCCCTGTCTTTCATGATGATGACACACCTCAACACACATACCCCTTTATCTGTAAGCATTCTCTGCAAGCCCACATTGTTGCCATAATTATGTCTGCCCCTGGCAACTAAAGATACTTCCAGCTCATGTTTGCAGAAAAAAACAAAAAAAAAAAAAACAACAAAAACAAAACCAGGAGCCAGCAGGTGGCATGGTGGTTAAGGGTGCTGGACTCCCACATGTCTGACTACGATTTGAGTCCAGGACCTGGTAGCTTGCTTTCTTACCTTCTTCTCTCTTGCTCTGTCCCTTTCTGGTCAAATAAAAATAAAGCTAAATAAAATAATTTTTAAATAAAACAAAACCAGTGTCTCCTCAATAAGGCTTTTAATAGCCTAAGTTGCCATTTTCTATTTCTAGGCCAAAGTCACACTTCATTTAGACCACATGAGATTAACAGTGACAATTTTTTTTTTTTAGAAAGAGATTATAGGGCTGTCCCCTCTTCCTGAGATGTCTCCACATCCCTACCACTCTCAACGATTGGATTCTTGAGTTAATGACCTCTCAAAGGGAACTTAAGTCTTCCACGTTCTCTACTCCACTGTTTCACTGTTACAAAGACCTTCAACATCTCCCTCTTACTAATGTCTTTACAATAAAGCACCTGTACAGCACCAGCTAGGGTCATTGGCCCCGAATCCCTGAGGACTTCCACTGCTTACACGATGGAGATATGAAGCTCTCACAAAACAGTCTAGACCCTACACTTCGAGGCTACCACCTGTTCTTCCAAACACACATACCTCTCCTGCCAGGACATGATGATTCTTACCCAGACTCCGAATTCTGCCTATTCCATTGGGTGTTTTTCACCATGGCATCTCACACCAACATTTCCCTAAAGCCAGAATGTTCTGTTCCATGTTCTTTCTCCTCAGACACACGCACATGGGGGTGGCCCCAACCTACTGCTATTTAGCTATGTGTGTGTGGATGCGTGCAATCTGCTAACACTAAGACAAGTCTATAAGGGAAACGCCTATTCTTCACTGCCCCTCTGTTCCTGTCCAGAACACTGTAGAACTTTAGCATGGCATCAACAGTTGAGAAATGAATGATCATAGGCCAATGAAGGACCCAAAAGCATCCCCTAAAAACAAAAAGGAAAAAGCAACTGGGTTCTTCAAAGGCAGCTCAGAGCTGCCAACTGTTCTGGAGAAAAAACACTGGCATGAGTTTCTTCACTTTCTGCTTTATACATATTGCTTATTTAAGTCATTGACACTTTTAGAGGGCTTGGGACAAACAACAGAGTTCTGAACTTAAAACAGTAAAGCAAATTCTGACCTTCTGGATGAGGCATCAGTGGCCCTAGGAAGGATTACCATGGGACTGCTGATGCACCGAGAGAGGACCTGTTACAGATTACAACTCCTGGGATCAGCAGATGGCGTAATGATTACGTCACTGGACTCCCACATGGTTGACTATGGTTCAAGTCTCAGACCTGGTGGTTTAAAACTCACACTGTGTGTGTGTGTGTGCATGCCCAAAATCCCTAGAGGAGAATGGAGAAGGGACTGTGGCATGGCTACTCCCCTGGGGGGGGAGGTGACTTGTCACTTTCTGTCCCTCTGGTGAGCACATGCACCCTAAAAAAATCCTTTAGGAAAAAAACCAAACCAAACCAAACAAAAAAACAGATCATAGCTCCCAAGGTTAGCTGGCCCTCGGACAGAGCTGCCAGCTCACATAGACTTCCAATTATGGGATGCCCAATGGGGTGGTGGAGTGACTTCTCCCCTAGAGAGGTTAAATGGCCTACCTTCTGCCATGTGAACCAAGAGAAGAGCTAAGAACAAGATCCCTCTGATTTCTAGAATATGACTTCAACAACAAGCCTATAATGTCTCCAAACACGATCTCACTCCCTTCCCTGCTGAATCCACTGTATTCTAAATATGGTATGGACACTTCTCATCATTATCTTCCCTTTACCTTTGCTCAAAAGATGTTCAAGATTTACAAGCAACAGACCCCAGAGATGCCATCTTGCCCTTCTCACTGTCCCCAGCTCCTGATTTACTCACTAGGGGTCATTGGTGAACCTAGGAAGTCGTGGTTGTGGGAAGCCATAGAGGTGACAGTAGAGCACATCGAAGCAGTAGCAGCACATCTCTGCGGTTACCACCAGGTTCTTCGTGGTGTTGGCAGTTCCATTGGGCCGGGGGAGAGGGCTCAGCGCTCCCGAGGCAGGATTCATTCGTGTGATGGGAGAGTTTCCAGGTCCCAGAGTTAAGTCCGACACATTCTCCCGTCCACTACTGCCGTCCACATGCTGGTGGTTTTGAAGAGGTCCTGAACTAGAGCCGGGGACAGTTGTGGACTGGTTCCCGTGACTGTGTGCTCCACTGCCAGATAACTTGGGCTTCTTGACCCCACAACACCCTGCTGCCAACTTGGGCTCGAGTGGAGGGACACAACGTCTTTTTCCCATCCTGATCCGGTGCTCGAGGTCTGGAATGCTACAGAACCCTAACCAGAGAGAACAGGTAGGCATTAATTTGGATGGTTAGTGAGAGAGAAAGAGCAGAGACCAAATAGAAAGGCTGCATGGATGGGCTGAGCCATCAAATTCTCCCTGACCCTGAACCCCTGGGTTACATGGTCAGAAAGGGCTGGAAGAAACCTTCAGTTCCAGATCAGGGATCCCTAACCTCTTCCTAAAAAGAACTGTTTATCTTCCAAAAGCTATGACCACACAGACAGAAGGGAGGCAAGAAGCTTCCTTCTGGCCAAGACTCCTTGGGGCAGAGAAAGAGTACAGCAGCAAAGTGTGAAGCTGGAGGAGGATACTTCCACAAACTGTGTGTGACGTGGTACATGCGTCACCAGGCTGCTTTCTCTACTTTTTTTAGAGGCTCCAAATTGTACCACCTTCCTATTATTAAAGAATTCCAGAGGAACTTTCGTGCTTTTCCTTGTTAACCACATTCTTCAGCAGTTCCCTCGACACTAGTTTAAATCCACCTGTGTAATTCCAGCCCCAGGTATGGTGCAGATGAAGAGCAGTGAACAGTCAACTTTGAAAGCACATGCCTCATAACAACACGTCCCCCCTCCCAACTCCCCACCTGCACAGCTTTCTTCCAGCCCCTCCCTCATTTTCTTTGGTTCCTCTCCGAACTCACTTCAGTTTCTATACATTTCTCTAGCCCTTTAAAACCCTATTCAAAAACACTGCAACCCAGTAAAAACCTTTATTCATACAAAAATGGCCCAAGTGTCACAGTCCTTTTGTGAAGTAGTCATATCTGCCCTGTCACTGCCAGGCAGGCAGGCAGAGAGATACCCTCACTTAACAAAATGTGGCATCATGTGGGCCAGGAGCCACAGTGTCCAATCTGATGATATGAAGGGAAGGGTTTTTTTTTTTTTTTGGGAGAGGTTTACGCTATAGGGCGCGTGCGCTTGCCAGACAGAGAGAGACATAGAGACAGAAAGCGAGAAATCACCCCCCGGGGGGATGGTCACGCTGCAATCCCTTCTCCTCCATTCTCCTCTCAGGATTTTGGGCACGCACGCACATGCGCCCGGCGTGAGTTTTAAGCCACCAGGTCCGGGACGCGAACCGCAGTTGACTACATGGGAGTCCAGCGACATAGCCATTACGCTAACTGCTGGTTCCCACGAAGGGAAGGGTTTTTTGTACTAAATATTTTTTCAAGTGCAATGTAAAAGATATAGATAGCTATAACATGACCAAGGTCCTTTCTCTGTTGAATAAAAAGTGTCAACAGAACCAGAAAAATAGAACCTAGTTATTTCAATGTTGATAATACCAAAATCTATAAAGTTCTGCTGACTAGAAAAAACTGTACTTAGTTTTTTCTCAAGTTATTATATACGTTGGTTTGGCAATCAGTCAGACAGTAAACGTGTGTGTATATGAGTGCATGCAAAATGTGCTTCCCACCTGTATTTCCCCAATTTGGATATGTAGTACATAACTATTTTTTTATTTAATTTGTTATAGGACACCTGCACTCACCAGATAAAGAAAAAGAGACATAGAATGAGAAAGCATGCTGAGGGTGGGGGTGGGGCATACTACAATCTCTTCTCTTCCATTCTCCTCTCGAGATTTTGGACACACACCCACACACACACACACACACGCCCAGCATGTTTTTCTTTGTTCTTTTCTTTCTTTTTTGGGAGAGGTTTTTGCTATAGGGCACATGCACTTGCCAGAAAGAGAGACAGAAAGAGAAAAATGACCCCTTGAAGGGGATGGCCACGCTGCAATCCCTTCTCCTCCATTCTCCTCTTGGAATCTTGGGCACACACACACACACACACACACCCGGCGTGAGTTTAAGCCATTGGGTCTGGGACTTGAACTGCGGTTGATTACATGAGGGTCCAGTGATACAGCCATTACGCATCTGCTGGTCCCAACCCAGCATGCTTTTCTAACCACTGAGTCAGAGATTGGAATCACAGAGTTGGCCATGTGGGATCCAGTCACCTTAATCACCATGCCACTAGCTGGCCCCATTGCCCATCCCCCCCAGAGGTTTCTGCCTTAGGGCGCATGCACTCACCAGGGAGACAGTGAGAGGGAAAGTAAGAAATCACCCCCACCCCCTAGCAGGGATGGCCATGCTGCAATTACTTCTCTTCCATTCTCCTTCCAAGGATCTTAGGCATGCATGCACACACGCCCAGCATGATTTTCAAGTCCCCAGATCTGTGACTCGAACCGTAGTCAACCATGTGGGAGTCCAGCAACATAATCGCTATTGCATCTGCTGGCGCCATAATTGCCTTTTTAGGAGTTACTCTACAGCATAATATTTCAGTTGTAATGTCCACACCCCATTAAATTAAATTAGATATTTTCATACCTACTTGCGATGCCATTATTTCTATGCGAACGGTTTATCACTGTTTTTGTATTTGTATAAAATACAAAAATTTTATAAACACTACTTATGTTCTTCATATATGCTGATTTGTAATAAAATACATATCTAGAGCAATTCTGAGTGCATTAATAGTTGTTTGTTGCTGAGGAATGATACCTTGCACACTTTAATCTCTGGCCTGAAATAGGCTTCTTTCTCAAAGGCCTTTTGTATTTGATACAGTAAAAACTCCCATGACTGACTAGCAGATTCTTTCTGGGTAGGGATGTCACTGTCTTATTTAGACTGTGAAGAGAAGGAGCAGAATGTTTTGGTTAAAAATGTTGCCTCCACAGCCAGATGGCCAGTTCCTCCAAGAGTTAACCTCTCTATGACTTAGTTTCCTCGAAATGGGAATAACAAAAGCATTTGCCTCCTGGAGTAGTTAGGAAAAATAAAAGAGTTTAATAAAAGATTAACACAGGACTGTCCCACTGTAAAACATCAACCTGTGCAGATGCTCTTGTCGTGCAGGTTGTCATCTGTCTGCTCCAGCTAAAAGGGATACTCCTAGAAGCCAGGAATTGGCTGTGCACTTGAAGCTGGAGCTGTACTTGTGTGGAACAGGTGCTCTTTAGTGAACTTCACTGACTCCTCTAGACCACTTGGCAAGACAGACAATATTACCATCATCCTACAGAGAAGGTACCTCAGGATTAAAAAGCAAGGGAAGTTGCCTAGAGCTACACTGCCACAGAGTGGCAGAGCTGGGATTAGGACTACAGCCTGTCAAGACTGCATGGTCTGGGGTTCTTACCAAGCGACAAGGAAGGAGACCTACCAACAATATCCACTGGACTCAGTCCCTTTCCTAAGAACATGATATTAAAAAATAAGTATTAACAAATTCCAGGGTATAATAAAAACTAACAACTTATAGAACTTTGCCAACAAAAAAAATCACAAATGAAGGCCCAAGTCAACACTTTAGTCATCACCTGGAACACTATCAGTATGCCTCGCCCCTACCACTATCATTTGAGTCTATGAGGGAAGTCATCAGGCTGAGTTCCCACTTGACTTTGTGCATAACCATGGGCAGCAGGCGTGGGATGCCTGTCAAATGAAGTAGCAGAACCTTCTCTCCAGAGCTGGAGGTTTTTTTTTTTTTTTTTTTTTTTTTTTTTAGAAATTTTTGCTATAGGGTGTGTGTGCTCACCATAAAGACATGGGAAGACGAAAAGCGAGAAATCTCCCCCTGGGGGTAATGGCAATGTCACAATCCCTTCTCTATTCTCCTCTCGGGATTTTGGGCACACATGCACATACTCCCAGCATGAGTTTTAAGCTGCTGGGTCCGCGACTAGAACCACAGTAGACTATGTGGGAATCCAGTGATGTAACTATTATGCCATCTGCTGGTCCCAGAACTGGAGTTTTAACATAACCTTGAAGTTTTGCCTTTAGAGCCTCAAAATTCAAAGATTCAAAGAGACGGGCATAAAACACAAAGGATTAAAACAAACAAACAAACAAACAAAAAAAACAACCTTGCTGGGGACCAGCAGATAGCATAATGGTTAAGTTGCTGGACTCCATGTAGTTGACTGTGGTTCGAGTCTCAGACCCAGAGGCTTAAAATTCATGCTGGGTATGTGTGCGTTGGGAGATGTGCCCAAGATCCCAAGAAGAGAATAGAGGAGAGACTATGGCGTGGTCATTACCCTCTGGGGGGTGAGTTCTTGCTTTCTGTCTCTGGCGAGCAACGCATGCGTTATAAGAAAAATCTTTCTTTTAAAAAAATAAGTAATAGGGAACCAGCAGTTAGCGTAATGGCTATGTCGCTGGACTCCCACGTAGTCAACCGCAGTTTGCGTCCCGGACCCGGTGGCTTAAAACTCACGCCAAGCATGTGTGCGTGCGTGCCCAAGATCCCGAGAGGAGAATGGAGGAGAAGGGATTGTGGCGTGACCATCCCCCATGGGGGGTGATTTCTCGCTTTCTGTCTCTATGTCTCTCTCTGTCTGTCTGGCGAGCGCACGCGCCCTATAGCAAAAATCTCTCCCCCCCAAAAAAAACATAAAAAAATAAATAATAATAAGCTCACTGGGGACCAGCAGATGGTGTTAAGGGTTACATCACTGGGCTTCCACATGAAAGTCAACCATGATTTGAGTCCCAGACTCAGTGGCTTAAAACTCAGGCCCGATGCATGTGCATGATTTCCGTTTCTCTCTCTGTCAAGAGCACATGCCCTACAGCAAAAATCTCAAGAAAAAAAAAAAATCTCAAAATCCCAAGAAGAGAATGGAGAAAGAATTGCAGCATGGCCATTCTGTGCGCATCCCCCCGACCCCACCACAGGGTGTGTGTGTGTGATTTCTCGCTTTCTGTCGCTCTCCATCTAGCACACACACCCTATAGCAAAAATCTCTCTTAAAAATAAAGCAACCTTTGGGAACCAGCAGTTAGAGTAATGGCTATGTCACTGGACTCCCATGTAGTCAACCGCGGTTCGCGTCCCGGACTCGGTGGCTTAGAACTCACGCCGGGCGCGTGTTCGTGCATGCCCAAGATCCCGAGAGGAGAATGGAGAGAAGGGATTGCGG